GCAAACCTAGTGATTCTGTGCTCTGAGAGACAATGGCTGTGCTCACCAGAGAAAAGGCACTGTACCAAAATTCATCTCATTACAAATTTGTCACATTTCTGATCTGGAAAAGATTAGAAAACACTCCCCAACATACTTCCCAATGTACCTTGCTAAGCTCCCTGCTCACAGTAGTCTCCATTGATGCCTAGTGAATTAAATGTCCTTGCTACTCCCATTTTTTAAAATTACTTTTTTGGGTTGGAGAGATGACTCAGTGGTTGAAAACACTGGCTGCTCTTCTAAAGGACCCAAGTTCGGTTCCAAGCCCCCACATAGGGTGCCTTACAACCATCTGCTAACTTCAGCTCCAGGGAGCCTGACGCCCTCTCCTGGACTCTTTGGGCAATGCACTCACTGTACCCCCACCCATATACACACAACCCCCTCCCATATACACATAATATGCTTTTAATCTTGAATTTTTCTTTGTTTTTGATAGACTCATACATATGCACAAGATACAACAGTTCTATTAGCCCTCATTGGCTCCTTTTATCTCCCTTTCTTTCCCTGTGAACTCCCCCCTTCCCAGTTAGCTTCCCTCTGGTTTCCTCCTCCTCTATCAACCCTTAGTAGTCAACACTGCCTCAAGAAGAGGTGTGGCCTCATGTTATCCATGATGGAAGCACGAAGGGCCTATCTTGTGTAGGTATCCATAGCTGCTGCATGTTCATGATTGTAATGCCATATCTGAATGATGGCGTCCCATGGCGCTGTCTCAGCTTCCAGTCCTTGAATTCCTCCCTTTCCCTCTGCTCTGATGTCACCTGAGCCTTGAGGGGGAGGGTGTTTCCATTTTCATTAACACCATTTACTTCTCTCTCTTTTTATCCAGTTGCCTGGTTCTTTCCCAATTACGCTTTTAAAAACTCACGTCCTAAAATTATCACTGCATGTGAGAATTATAGGTTGTAGTTACAGTTTGCCTTGAAAAGGACAAAGGAGCACACACAGAATGCTTATGTATTAAATGATTCCATATCAGTTATCAAGAGTATTTTTGAGCTTTCCAACAAGTTTGTATCAATCACTGCTGGCCAAGATAATGGTTTGATTCCTAGTACTTATTTTTGGAGCCCTAAACAAGGGAGCAGTAGAATTAATCACGTGAAGTCCTCTGATCCACTATGAGGGTGTAAGAAGAAGTAAGTCTATGAGCAAGAGGCCAGCCCCACTGTTGCTAAGGGGAAGGATGGGCAGTCAGCCAGGTGCTGTCCTGTCATCCTGGGTTGGTGCAGGGCAAGGCTGCACCTAAAATGGCCGCATCTCGTTACAGCTTTGGAACACAGTGTGCTTATTCACTAGCCTTGGGATAGGGACTAAGCCACTTGTGGCCGCACAGGACACCTCAGCAGCGTCTACTCAGAGGGCAAGAAGGATGACTGCTGTCTGAGAGTACACTGCCCTGTAACCAAAGGCAGGAAATCTAAGCTCTGTGGTCATGTCCCTAAACGTCAACTTAAGAAATCTGTAACCCTGTTCTCTGTGTGTGCACAAAGTCATCTGCAGCAGCCAACAAATAAATTTGCAGACTCTGTCTTCTCTGTAAGACTAAGCATTAATTTTAGAGAACCACCGTCACCCCGGTGAAGGCCACTGGAACTGTCGCCTTAAACACAATGGCTCCTAACTCCTTGACATTTCATTCGCAACAATAACCCAAGGACATTTCAATCCTCCCTAAAGTCCCCAGAGTGAGACTGAGTAAAATGGGAATTTCCTTCCTGCTAAAAGCTGCTCTCTGCATTTCCTGGTTTGACAGACCACTCTCTTCCAAATGAATCAGCAATCTAATCCTTGCTACCCCTCTGGACTACCGCCCATCTTCTCTTTTCTACTTACTCAGGATCCTGCCCCTTAATGAGCTTGCCTTGTTTCCCATTTGGCCACTGACACTTGCTCCCTTGTCCTGGGAATCTGCAGACATGTCCATTTCTCCTTCATGGACTCCAGTGTCTGAGGGTAGGTAAACCTCCTCCCTCTCTCCCCATCTCTCTGTCTTTCTACTTTCTCCTATATTTCTAGAGGTGTCACTATGCTTTGCATACCATAAATGCTTAATAAATCGACTATAGCAACAGGGGGCGAATTACCTTAAAAAGACATTTATTTCCTCAAGAAATAGCTCATTAGATAATTAAATATTTACTCTCACTTCTTCCACTCTAATTAACAATGTTATCTGTGCACACAGACAAATGTACACACAGTATGCCCTAGTTACCCTAAGTCAGTCTTTGGGCAAACACAAAAAGAGGATCAACCCCACGAATAATTAAAACATAAACTGGGTCATATTATGTTTCTGGTTTTCCTTGAGAAAACTGACATGATGCTTAGTAGCAAATGAAAATTTATTTTGCAAATCCATAGACACAAAATGCCACCAATCATGGGTCATGCATCTTTCTTTTCTGATTTTGATCCCATTGCACTGACTCAGTGTGGTAATTATATTACAAAGCCATTATCTGATGAAATGAAAATGGCAAAACAATTTAAATGCTTGTCTAAAGAGACTCTGTTAGAATGCAATTATGAGTGAAATTACAATGACAAAATAATTGAAATGCAAGTCTGGAAGGCAGAGTCATGGAACCATAAAAATGCTTCTGTTAGGGACTCACACCCTTGAGTGAAAACAAGCCCTCCTGAGGACACAGCTCCAATGCACTAGAGTGGGCACCACTCATAGGCGGGTGAAACCACCCAGGTGCCTCTTCTGCAGTGTTACCCACACTTGTCAACGCCACCTGCAGATGTGTCTCCTCATTTGGTGCTGGCTTCTGTGACAGACTGATGCGGGAACCCTAAGCAATGCTGTGCTTCCATTCAGCACCATGAAGCTAAGCAAAGCTGTGCTTCCATTCAGCACCATGAAGACAAAGGAGAAAGGCAAGTCCAGTCTGGGCTTTCCTGTAGTGTCTCCGATATAAAATCCAGTCTCATAGCTTGAAGAGGGTTTCTTTAAGCCTGCAATGATTAAGGACCCATGTGGGTACAGCTCTAAGGCTCTGACTTGAAACATTCTACCGATACATCCCTTTGGCAAAATCTTGAAAGTTTCTGGACAACCAGGGTTATACTGATACACTTGCCACCAAAGGAAAAGAAAACCAGCAAAGCAAAACACAGTGTCAGATACAATGGATCTGCTGAAAAAAAAAGCAATTTGATGAATAGCTAAGCTTTCTCCTGTGAAGCATGGTAAGGTCTGCATTTTGATAGTTGGACACACACATGAGTCTATCAGCAAAAACTATGTAAGTTATTCAACAACTCCCACCACCTGTGGCCCCTCACAATCTGGTTTTATGGATTCAGTTCTTTCATTTATATAGAAAGAAATACACACACACACACACACACACATACACACAGGAGCTAATTTAAAAAATGAAATACTTTAAAGGAATTAAACACTGCCAGTCCTCTCCTTTGTGATTATCTCTTGTGGTGCTGGAGAGAAAGCTGAGAAGTGACATCTAGATACACATAATTTCTTTGCATGAATGATTATGACATTATTTAATAAACTAATCATTTTTCATAATAAAAATTATATGTTCTCAGTTTCTAGTTTATAGAAGGCTCTTGGAAATACAGACAGTAGTCTTCTGATCTCTTTTATAGATTCTGAATTATGTAAAGATTTTCATTCATAGAAACATATTCTTTGAGGCAGATTTTTTATTCTAAAGATTTATTTATTTTATGTATATGGTGCTCTATCTGCGCGTATGAGTTTATGCCAGAAGATAGCATCAGATCCCACTAGAGATGGTTGTCAACCACCATGTGGTTGCTGAGAATTGAACTCAGGACATCTGGAAGAGCAGTCAATGTTCTTAACCAATGAGTCATCTCTCCAACCCCCAGGCAAAATTTCTAAAAGGAGCTTAAAATCCTTCTGAGTTAGTGTATTAAGTAGTTGAAATGGACCCTTAAACTGTGTGTGTCTGTCTCTCCAACTTACCTCAAGAGTATTCACTACAGCCCCATAATAATAAGAACCTTGAGTGTATGGTGAACTGAATATAAAAATCTAATCTGTTGTCTAGATACCTTACAGAAATCATATTTCAACACATAGAATTGAATTATTAATAAGATTTGGAGATGATTTTAAAATCATATTAGAGAATGCAGTTTTGCCCTTTAGGTATGGAGGTACAAACCCTGAAAACAAAATTAAATTCACCTACAGAAAATTCTATGTATAAAGCTACTTGGAAAAAATAAGCAAACATTCTCACAGATCATAGGGAAAAAGTATCAGTGTTCTAGAAATAAGTGACAGTATCAGATGTAGTATCTGGAATCAACATTCATGACTTTCACAGAATTAACTTCTATTAGAAAAGTATCAACTGAGTTTCCTATAAAGATCCTGGGGATCTAAACCAGGGTTCTGCATGTGCTTGGCAAGTACTCTACCCCTGAGCTACATCCCCAGCTACCTTTGAATCAGTAAAGGAGGCACCAATGCAAGTCTATACTGCTCAGCACCCATTTGACATATATTAGTATGTTGGTTAACAAAAGGCTGTATTCATAATGGTGGCCTACAAGATCGTATTACTAGTGATGTCATAGCTATGCATAGATTATGTAACACTTGCATATCAAGTAAATGGCACATGACTTTTCCTTGAGTGGGCTGAAATCAATTTCTCTAACTTGCTTTAAAATGCACACAGATAAGTTGTATTAATGGATACATAAGATCATGAAGAAATCATCAGAAAAGGTAGCTACAGAACCCAGGTAAGATTCTCTACAGGTACTCACTACACATTTTTTTCTGGTTTTTTTTTGTACTTATAAGATTTTTCATTAAAAATTGCTGGAGAAATGCTATGCTCTAGATGAGAGTTATTCATTCTGTACTCCATAAATATATTTATAAATGCTTCTAAAGCATTTTCAGAGAGGTCTCTCTGACATACAGCACTCACCTAGCCATCCGGATCCTGAATTTGGTATGCAGAGGTCTGTCTCTGCACTGGGTAGCACGAAGCCCACCACGAACACCTCCACACCATCCGCCATGAGAGCCATGCCCAGGACGAAGAAAAGGGCCCACTGGAAACGCCCATGGCCACACTCCTGGATTATCAGCTCATACTGCTGAGCCAGCTCTTCCTCATCAGCCCTCCTCTCTGACTCCAGCTCTCTGCGGTCCTTGTACTCATCTCGTTTGGGCTGGCCCACAGACACTATGCTGTCCTTCCCTTGGTTCATGCTGGGGATGCCCTGATACTCCCCTTCATAGATCTCATCCTCTTCATCATGACCCTCAGTGGCTTCGCTTGAGCCTTCATCATCATTGGCCTCCCCACTGTAGGTTTCTCCAGGCGGGTAGTAGTCCTCATCGTCATCTTCATCCTGGAACCGACTGTAGGACCGCTGGGTGTATCCATCCTGGGCCCGATCCACTGCCTGGTTCACCTTCTTCACTGTTTGCTTCTTCACCTCTTTGGCAATGTCCTTGGCACCCTTCACCAGTGAAGTCCTGTCCTTGTAGGAGTCTTCCATCTTGTCTCAGCTGATGGCCGAGGTACAGGGAAGTGTCCACGGGGTGTTCGCTAGTTCACCTTTGGCTCAGAACAGAGCTGCACAGAAGAAGTAGGAGAGATGCATATTATTCCTTTCCCTAGATCTTTCACCACCCAGCTCCGGGGCCCTTTCACTACCCCAGATGGCAGAAGACATCAAAAAAGACACAGAATGCACTTTTCCTGCTTTTGACTGCTCACACACGTGCGCACACTATGTTGCTCCTTTGCTCAAGCGCAGCACCTGGAGTAGCTAGCAAGGTTGTTATTGTAGTTTTTTGTTTTAAAGAATTTTGTACTCAGGAATTCTACTGAGAATGAAGCTAACTACCTTCCAGCTTTTAAAACACAAACGTCGCGTCTCAGAAGGCTCCCCCAAGACTCAAAGACCATCAAAGAACAGAGAGTAGAAAGATGTAAGAGCCAGAAGTGGTGGGTGACTATAAAAAACTGTTTTCCGGCGACAACAGGACAGCTACACAAGTGAAGTCACTGTGGTGGTGACCACACACATAAGACCTGGCCAAGCTCCAGCTATAAAAAGTCTCAGCAGGGAGACAGGAGGGGGTGTGGGGGAGTGGGCAGGGAGTCCTACTCCTAGCTGAGGACTATTATTGGGGATTGATAGCTGCTGGGAGAAGCAGGGTCAGTTTCCTTTAAGATTATGACCTCCACCGGGGACAACCATGCTCTAGAATAGGCCTACACCTGGGTATTTGGGCAGCAAGAACTGGACTCAGACTGGGTGAGTTTTGTCTTGTTTTGTTTTGTTTTGTTTTATGAGGAGGGCACAAAATTGGATTAGGGAGGGAGGGGTAGGGAGAGGAAGGAGTGGATCTGGGAGGATTTAAAAGAAAGGAAATGATTGTGGTCAAAACACACTGTAAGAAAGTCTTCAAGAATTGAATATTTTTTAAAGCTATAAGAATATATATCTTGACTCACAAGACACACAGTCATACATCTATACACAGTGACAGCATGGCTGGATGAGGACTAGAAGAGCCCCATGGTCTCTCTTTCCTTGCATTGAAAAACTCATTGTTCAATTCTCAGACTGCCATTCCACTTGTCAAACTGCATGTTCTCTACCCTACATCTGCTGTTGGATAGGCACAAGTATTTCCTTTTCCACAGAGCTGTATCTGTAGAGAATTGGCAATTAATCAAGTGACTTTATGTGGCATTCACAGAATTAGAACACATATCTTGTTTGTGGAGGTCTTCCCTTTCAGAGCTTGCCCCAGTCCAACAGCAAGGGGAAAGCCCAGTGTGATGTGCCTTCACACCTCCACCTACAAGTCCTTCAAGCTTTATCTCTATTGTCCTTGAATGTAGACACTGGGGGATGCATAATTTGACGGCATGTTGGAAGTGATGTTTCTTTCACATGCACATCCTATCTGGAGGAAGTAGGTCACTACTTCCTTGGGGGCAACCTTGTACCGGGTTCCTCTCTTTCCTTCTCATTATCTGCTTTCCAGTCCTCATGAGATGAGCAGTTCTACTCTACCACACACTTCTGCCAAGATGCTCTCTCTGTTTGATCAGACTTACAAACAACAGAGTCAGTTGACCACAGATTACAACATCTGGAACACAGCTAAAAGAAATCCTTCCTTTAAAATTCTCTAAGATATTTGTTGTGGTGATGCAATGCTAACTAATACAAAAAAAACCCATGCGTGGATTGAAAGCAGTAGTTCTCAGAGTGAAGTTTACTCAACAGGTATGGCCAATAGCAAGGCTCACAATCATCTTAAAACATCATTAACGTCTGCAGGGAGCACTCTTTTGTATCTATAGAGTATAACACATACTGTGCATCAGGACCCTGTCTGATTCAATTGAAAATCAAATTTGTTGAAATCCAATGGGCTAGGGAGATGCCTCGGCAGTTAATGCATTTTCTGCATGAGCAAAGGACAGGTGTGAGATTCCCAGAACCCATTGAAATGCTGGGTCTTCAATGGTGGAGGACAGCGAGTCCCTAGACAGTGTTGGCTAGACAATGAGCCATATTGGTCAGCTCTGGGTTTGAGTAAGAGACCCTGTTTCAAAGAAGAATGTGGAGGATTCCTCAAGGAAGATTCCCAGCATCAACCTCAAGCTCCCACATGTATAGGTGCACATGCACACATGCTTGTGAGCACACACACACACACACACACACACACACAAATATACAAATGAAAAGAAAACAAAAACAAGTTCAGTTTGGTTTTAGTGAATACCATACCAGGTATGTATGAAGCATTTGATGTTCACCCTTATATGTTTTCCAAATTCTTTCAATCCTATAAAATAAAAATTATGATCTCCATCTTTCAGATGAGAATACTAATCAGATGGGTCCTTCACCTCATCCACATCATTGAGTGCTCCCATTGGGGTGTGAGTGCTCCGGTCTGATTTCCATTCTTTTCCTCCCTGTATGAAAATTATTTCACTATATCTTCTCTAAATCATATCATGGGCTCTAAAATAAAGGGAGTTGGAGTTGTTAATGATATCTTTTTATCAGTGATAGCTTTGATATAGCATTTCCCAATTTCAGTCTTGTTTATTCATGGAAATGATCACAATATGGTGGCTGTCTTTCCAAAGATAAAATGATGATGCTAAATAAGATACAGTGATCAAGAGGGCAGGAAATTAAGCAAAGCCTGGAAACTTCCACAATCTCCAAAAGACACATAATGACATCCTTTATTATTCAAACAGGACTCCTGCTCTGTGAGACAAAGGTGGTAATTTTCCTGTGCTCCTGTGAGGGTTTAAAAGACATCCAGCTCACACCACCTTAGGACGGAATTCGACATCTATGAGATCAGGAAGTACAGCCTCGCATGGGGAATCAGATGCACACCTCTTCAGAAAGAGTAGAGGGTAGAAAAAGGCAGGCAGGGACCTGCTGAGTAGAAGACCTAAAATGTAAGGGAAGACCTCAGCATGGTCTTCCAGAGGACTTCAGACAGAAGCAAGGCCTCAGGGCTGTTCTCACTCAAGCACAAGGTTCTACCCAATCACGCCTCCATACCTGCCAAGCATCAGCTAAGGGCACCTAGGGTGACCCTGAAATACAGGTGCTCTCAGCTCTGTGCTCAGTGCTCAGAAAAGAGGAGCAGGTGCCGGATGGGGGAAACAAAGGCACAAAGAAAAGCCAAAGAGCATAGTGAGAGCGCTCCAAGGGTGTGTAGGCAGCGTCTGGAAGCACCTCCCCCAGGAAGCCATCATCTGTCTTCTATTGGCAGGACAGGGCCACAAACTCAGGGCCCTGAATGTGCTGGGCAAACAGTCATCACATCCTTGTGTAAATGCCCGGATCATAGTGCTGAGCCATAGAACCCATGTCTGATTGATACTATATCTTGAAAGGCAATATTTAAAACAAATAACTTTATATCAGATGACATATGCTATATTCAATGACATGCACATTTTACACAAATATAGAAAGTGTAACCTCTACATATTGATGAGAGTTATTCTGACAAGAAGTATTGTGTGTGTGTGTGTTTCTCTTTTGGTGGCTCACAAAATAGCATATATCTAGTAATGCCACATATTATTTTAAAGTTGCTTCATACAAACTACAGCCCACATGCATGTAAACACACACACACACACACACACACACACACATTTCTGTTTCTCCACAGAGCCCCCACCTTCAATCTCTTCCTTTCTTCTTTTCCTCGTCACCACTACCATATCCACTTCTTGGGATGCCCCTCTTCCCTAAAACTTGTACGTGTTTTTCAGATGCTCCACAGGGTATCTTTCTCAAATGTATCTTTCCATAGGTTTAAAAACACTGTGCTCTCGCTGCATATTGGTACCCATAACAGCAGCTAATGTATTCTCTCCACAGTGACTGTCAGGCCAGAATGGGTTACACAGCAAGCCTTTGTCTCAAGAGAGAATAATACCAGTTTGGGCAGGCCCACTCCAGAGCTCACCCTGCAAAGCACCATATCCACTACTTTTTAGTGAAACTGCGAGCCGGTGGTGGAAATGAATGTTTGGTAAATGATAGTGTCACCATACTAGCTTGGGAGTCATCTAGACTTTTCAGAGACGCCTGGTATAAAGGGATTGTGCAGAATAACTTATTATGAAAGAACTTGGGGCACCCATGCCACAAGCAACTCTGAGGTATCAGGAAAAGAAAGACCAGATGTGCAGCTGTTTGTACTAAGAAGTATCTTTATCTTGCAAGTGCTAAGAGGTCTCTTTCTTGTAGGAGGGAGCAGTCTTCTATATAGTCTTACAACACAGTAGAAAAACCCCAGGTGGAAGAGAGCTAGATGATGATGTCAGTGGGGCAACGTAGGGGCAGTAAGCCAGGACTAGAAAACAGGATGCACCTATCGCTATCAAACAGCTCAGAGACCCTGTGGGGGCTAGGCTCCAACAAGAACTCAATTCCCTGAGGCAGGGAAAAATGAAGGAACAGAAAGCTGTTACTGAAGCATAGAAAGTTTCAGCTTTTCCAAAACAAAGGGTTATGAAGAAGGACATGATGATGGTTGTAGAATATTATGGGTATACAGTTAAGGATGATTAAATGGAAATTTGATGTTAAAACTTTTTTTTGGTTTTTCGAGACAGGGTTTCTCTGTATTGTTTTGGAGGCTGTCCTGGAACTTGCTCTGTAGACCAGGCTAGCCTCGAACTCACAGAGATCTGCCTGCCTCTGCCTCCTGAGTGCTGGGATTAAAGGCATGTGTCACCAATGTCCAGCTATGTTAAAACTTTTCTATAACAATAAAAATAGTGGAGAAAATAGTTTTAAATATATTTTCTTAAATTCTCAAAAATCTTATACTTTGTATTTTGATCATATGCACTCTCCATTCCACCCCCCAACTCTTTCTAAATCCATCGTCCACTAAAGTCCTTTTTTGAAAAAGAAGTTATTACCTCATAGCAGACATCCTAGGAAAAGAATTTGAAAATTCAGAAACACACACAAACACACATGCGTGTACATGTGTGCACATCCACACATGTTTATTAATCCCAGGGATAGTCATTCTTAACAATCAGCTGTT